TAAGTTGGAAGAGACCCAAGCCATTTCATTCAAGTGCTCTTGGGTGGGTCACCAAGTTAATTGTTGAATGGAATATTTAATTTTAATTTTTAAAACAAAATAAAACAATGACCTTAACTTAAAATAAAACAAAATTCTTAATATACTTAACGGGTCAACTTTTTTCTTTTCACTTTTGTCTTAAACGCGTGCTCTGTTCTATCTTTTTAGCTCGCGTCCAATTTGGACTTCGATTGTGTTTATAATTGCACTAATAATATTATTATAGTCCATTTTCACACCATGACCCTAATAAAAAGAGAGGTTGCAAAAGTTAATTGACGTGGAACAAAATTGATCATTTCTTTTTTTTCTTTTTCTTATTCTTTTTATTTTTTAGTTTAAGAAAAAATATTCGGTAAGAACTTAATTAATGTCTCAAGCTCACGTTTGTTTTCTAGGATGTGATTGGACTAAAATAGTTCAATCGTGAATGATTGTACTGTTTGGATAAAGCTAATTCTATATTTGTTATATATGATAAGGAGTATGATAAATTTAATTTAAAAAAAATGTCTAGGTCGTTACAAATCAAACAAACTGGTGTAAAATATTGATTTTTACAACTCTAGAATAAATTAGTCACAAAAAATTAACACTAAAATGAGGGTAAAATGGACTTAGCTTTTCAGAATTGGTTTAATCCCCTAAAGGCCAGGATTGACTTATCCCGATTTCATGTGAAAAAAGCCATTTTCGTCCTGGGCCGAGCACTCCATTTCGGGTTTGAATCCTATGTTTGTTATATATGATAAGGAATAAGATAACTTTAGCTTTTAAAAAAATGTCTAGGTCACCACAAATCAAGTAAAAATAGTGTAAAATACTGTTTTATCCCTCTGAAATAAATCAATCACAAAAAAATCACATTAAAATAAGGGCAAAATAAACTTTAGCTTGTCAGGATTGGTTTAATCCTCTCTAAACGCCAGGATTGACTTATCCCAATTTCAAGAGAAAAAAGTCATTTTCGTCCTGGACCGAGCACTCCATCCCGAACATGAATCCTATGAAATAAACATGAGATAGGAAAGGAATGAGCCAGGATATCCTGGCTAATCCCTCCAACCATACATGTGAAATATTGAAATGTTGCTTGGAAACAATTATTTGCATAAAGTTAGATCGTCCAAAGATAATCGTTTTTAATTTCTATGTAAACGTGATTTGCGTGAGAAAAAAAAGAATGGTCCTAATTCATAATTTAATTCTTTTTAAAATTGTTTAAGGGTCGAGGAAAGTGAGATGATATGATCAGAGGATATATATATATATATATATATATAAACAAATTTCTAAAGAATACACATCACAGGCTAGCATGCATATGAGATATAGCACATGCGAGCTATAATGCTCGTGAGTCGTGAGATCGTTATTAACAATATAATAATAAAATAGCATCATAATCATGATCCTTTTTTCTCAAATAAATATATAAAAATTTAGCAAGATGCTTAATTGTCATTCAATTTGTATGTAATATCAAAGATATGCACATTGGAATGCGCGAAACCGATTGATTTTTTAGGGCGAAACCCAACCTCCAAGCCTTGTGATTAGAAAGGTAAAGACCCACGTCTACCGATCTATTTTTGCTCTTTTTCCGAGTGTTCTTGCCGAATTTGAGAGAAGAAACCTAGACGTTGAAGTATAAAATTTTGATAATTTTTTAGGATGGTTGATGCCAAGTGCTTGAGCACTTAGAAGATCTTGGTTGGAGGAGAACATTGTTCTCGTTATTTTTGTGTTTGCGAGTGAGGAACCGACTTGTGGCCACCCACTACGCTCTTGAAAGCCGACTCGGTTGTATGACTTTCAATTTTGATCAATACAAATTTATTTAACGATAAAAAAAAAAAGAAAAAAAGATATGCACATCTAAATTACCCACAATCGAATAATATCCTAATCTGTATATAAATAAATACTAGTTTTTAGAGTCTAAATGATAATTTCTCGTGTTTCAATGTCCATTTGTTGTACTTTGTTGTCTTTGCCAATTTTTAGAGTTACTAGTATTAATCCGGTGCATTTGCACAGGTTATCAAAAATAAATTGATCAATAAATATTATATATAAAAATCTTAATTAAAATAAAATGTATGTAATATTATGTATCACATTTATAGGTTGGATTTTTAAAACTAAAAAGAAATAACAATATGAATGTAGATTTAACATACATTAATGACTATTATTATATGAATATAATGAATCATCTATTTTTTATACTCTTTGAATATTATATTAATAAAAACATACTATTATAAACAAAGAAAAAAAAAAACTTAAAATGGACAACATAAATATTATATACCATATACATTGATATTTTTATACATTTATTGTACAAATGATATACATAATATATTTATATAATAAAATATATATACGTTTAGATTATTTCATCTAATAATTTTCCACTTACAAGCAAATACTTATATGGTATTATTTCATTGTGGTCATTACTAAATATCACAATCAATTCTTACACATTAATAAGATTTTTTTTTTCAACAAATATGCAGGTGAAATAAAAAACCATTGCACCTCAATAGACTAATGTATAAAATTTATCTATATGCTACAACAATTAAAAAATTAATTTTGAATAATAATTTAAAAAATAACATAAGCTAATAAAACTAACATTAATTGACATTATTAAAATGACTGAAGAAAAAAATAATAGGACCTTTTATGAATTAATAATGGAATCCCTACAAATGAAAACATAAATTCATTTCTAAGGCAAATTCAAATCTATACTTCTAATATCTGTCTTAAAAACCAAATTTATTGTACTAATTACCAGAAAAAAAAG